GAAATCATAAAACTCATAGAAGAAAACATAAGGAATAAGCTCCTTCATACTGGTCTTGGCAATGATTTGGGGGACTGACACCAAATGCAAAGGCAAAAAAGCAAAAATAAACGTGAACTGCATCAAATAGAAGCTTCTACACAGCAAAGGAAATCATCAACAAATGAAAAGGCAACCTATGACATGGGGGGAAATATCTGCAAACCATATAACTGATCAGGGGATTAATATCCAAAATACACTCAGCCTTCCATACCTGCAGATTTAACCAACTGTGAATTCAAAATATTGAGAAAAAAACTCCAGAAAGTTCCAAAAAGCAAGATTTGAATTTTGCTGTACAACAGCAACTATTTACATTGTATTTTCACAGCATTTACACCGTATAAGTAACCCAGAGATGATTTAAAGTATATAGGAGGATATGCATAGGTTATATGCAAATACTACATCATTTTGTAGTAATTCTTCTCATAAGAACATGTCTCAGTGACATTAATTGTGGCTAAACTCAATCTGATTCAGTAGCTCCCATTTAACTGAGCACTAGTCAGTTTTCCACGTGGCTGGTTTGTATCCCAAAAAGTCTTTTGGAGATTGTATATGCTCACTGTTTCCAATCCAGTTCCCACTCCTTCTCTATTCATTAGAGTATACCCCTTCTAAAGTATGCCTTAAAACTTTTAATTTTCCATTATATTGATCACAAAACGCTTTTGCTTGCAGCATCTTTAGGACACTTTGAGAAACACAAAAACAATACCATATTGTAAACATATTTTGAGTTGGCTTGGGGGAGCTAATTTTGTTTCTACTGTAAAATGCATTGGTGGGAAGAGAAAAGGGAGGAAGGGAGAGAGGAAGGGACAAAGAAAGGGAAGAAGGAAAAGGAAAGAAACTTAAAAGTTTTTTAAATCCAATTCAGTTGGGAGGGAAATGTAGGCAGTACTACACATACAGAATAAAAATAAGAATTTTTTCTGTTCTATAGCTACTTAAAATTAATTTTAACTTTTAAAGCAAATTTGCCTTTCCGTTATATACTAACTTGAGAAAATATGACTAGATTTTTTAAATAAAGGGTAAAGGAAATTAAAATTCTTCCTTTTTAGGAAACAATGAATTATTCTTTCAAATTGCTATTCAAAAAAATTTTCGTCTCTTTCAAAAAACATTGTAATGACATAATCTTACATACTTTTAATTAACCAAGTGGAGAACCACTCAGAAACATTTTTATTTTACTGTATACCAAAATATCAAGTAAACATTTGAATTTCTGAAATCTGAAACATAATAGAATTTAGTTATCCCCTCTACAAAGTGCTGTGTTACTCTTCATGGTAAACAACAAGAGACAGTAAAACTGTCACTTTCATTGCTGGAAAAATATTTTTTTCTATAGTAAAAAATAAAATTAAATAAAAATCAAGCTCTATGGCGCCATCTTTTGGATTGTTCAAGTTTTCTTATAATTCTTTCTTATAAGAAACAATTCATTGATCAGAATCAAGATAAAGACAGAGACAAAACTATTTGGCTACCTCTTCATAAGCTATATTTGCCCTAGCTTAGTCTCATACTTTTATATTAGGATTTAAAACATATCCATAAAACAATTACCTATAATACTAAAATTCTACTAAAAATTCTGAAAATAAAGGCCTTTTGAATTAACAAACTGCATGTTCTCAACACTTTATGGCAGTGGTTCCTAAAGTGAGGCACCCCCACTATCACGAGCATCATCAACATCATCTGGGAACTTTTAGAAATGCAAATTCTTAGGCCACACTTCAAACTGACTAAACTGGAACTGGGGCGGGGGTGAGAGGAGTCAGCCTTTTTTTTTAAGTCCACCTTTATTTATTTATTTTTTTATTATATTTTATTTTTGGCTGTGTTGGGTCTTTGTTGCTGTGCGCGGGCTTTCTCTAGTTGCGGCGAGCGAGAGCTACTCTTCGTTGTGGTGCGCGGGGTTCTCACTGAAGTGTCTTCTCTTGTTGTGGAGCATGGGCTCTAGGCGCGCGGGCTTCAGTATTTGCGGCATGTGGGCTCAGCAGTTGCGGCACGTGGGCCCTAGGGCGCACAGGCTTCGGTAGTTGCAGTGCGTGGGCTCTAGAGCGCAGGCTCTGTAGTTGTGGTGCACGTGCTTAGTTGCTCTGCGGCATGTGGGATCTTCCCAGACCAGGGATCAAATCCGTGTCCCCAACATTAGCAAGCAGATTCTTAACCACTGCACCACCAGGGAAGTCCCGAGTCTGCCTTTTAACAAGCTCTTGGATTCTGATAACCTGTGAGAACCACTGCCTTCCAGCCCTTGGATTTTGATATGAGCTAACCTGTGAGAACCACTGCCTTTTTGAAAAAGGTCCACAGCTAACACTGAACTATACACTAGTTGGGAATCGCTAGTAGTTCAGCAGTTCCTAACCTTAGTTTCACATTGGGATTACAAGGGAGCTTTAAAAATACCCGAGTCCTGCTCTAATATGTGATTAATGGTTCGGGAGGTAAGTAAAGCCTGGGCACCAGGGTTTCTGAAAGACTCTCAAGTGATTCTAAAATGCAGCCAAGGTTGAGAGCCAAAGATCTAGAGGATTACATTTTCAAAAGCTAGAGTTCACTGAGTCTTATATTAAGCAACGTTTGTAAATGAGACATGAAAAGTTAGTCTTCAAAACCAAGATACATATAAAATCCCATTACAAGAAAAAAGAACTGATTCACTTCCAGTCTGTAAATTTTACTCCTTCAAAGGCTACAAAGATGTTTTTTAAAGCAGAATTTTTAAAATAATTTATTAAATATATACTGTGCATTCCCTAGTTGTTATGAGCATGCTAAAAAAAAGTAGTCCTCACCTTTATAGACCATCTAATATACTTGGGCATATTTCATAATAACTGACAATAAAGAATAAATGCCAAATTTGGAGTAAAGATTGAGTCAATGAAAGAAAAAAATCACATCTAATCATAGTGGTATTTAAGACTGTTAAAAAATATAGGGGAGAACTTTCAGTCTTTAAAGATGAATTAGATGTAGAGTACATATGGGGAGTTGTAGGTGGCAGACCTGATAGAAAAGACACGTAGGTTTTGTTTTTTTTTTAGGGGCAGGGCTGACAATATGTAATATAAAAGAACCTTTCTCACTGAGGGGCTCGTCATCTGAACCAGAGATCACTGCAAAAGACTTAACTATTTTGTCAGTTTTTCCAAGCATGGTATGTAACTGGTACCATTCTAGAATCACAGGGCAGAAATATGAATGCAGTTAATTCATTACATACAATCGATGTCTTGGGCACTAGTTCCCACTTAACATGACTCAATCACTTGGAGGACTTATTAAAACACATACTGCTGGGCTCCACCCTTAGACTTTGACTAATGTTTGTTCTCATCATTTTTATCCTTGTCCTTTCTTGGTGAGAGCTTCTCAAGTTTGTCCTCCACAGACACAAGTTCATTAACTGTAATATGAAATTCAACTCCTTCTTATCTATGACCTTCAAAGTGGAATGTCAGGTTCTGCTATTGCATTTTAGTTTCCAGCCATCCTTCCTATGTTGCCTGTTCCCCCTTGTAACCTGCTGCCCTTTCACCTAAGCTTGTTGTCTACTTATGGGCTGTCTTTCCTATTTCATTGGAGCCACATCATTTTACATGTTATTAAGTATGCCCAATGTTTTTTTGTTTGTTTTCATTTTTTTCTGGTTCGTTTCACATTCATAGGGGGCTCTTCCTTCAAAGCTTCAGATTATGTTCCTTCCTTTTGTTCTGCAGAATTTTTTCAGGGAGCTCTTATTTTTCCCATCTTAGCACTTCATTGACAAAGAAAGCACAATCAACTCACGCTCAGTACCTGCCACAAGCTGAGAGGTACAGACTGCCCTTGATCCTGCTCCTAACCACAGGTGCTAATGGAAGCCCTTTCCCAAAATGATGTGCAGGATCTAAGCAGTTCTGATGGATAGGGTGTGTGGGATTAACAGATGCAAACTATTATGTGCAGAATGGATAAACAACAAGGTCCCACTGTATAGCACAGGGAACTGTATTCAATATCCTGTCATAAACCATAAGGGAAAAGAATATGAAAAAGAATATATATATATATGTATAACTGAATCACTTCGCTGTATAGCAGAAATTAACACAATATTGTAAATCAACTATACTTCAATAAAACAAACTCAAAAAGAAAGATCTAAGCAATTCCAAGTGCCCAAGAGACTTCATCTAGTGTGTGGTTTTCCTAGAAAGAGGGGGACATCTCCCAATGACTAAATGTTTGAAATACTTAAGTTCAATCTTTGAAATTCCACCCTTCAGCTTCCTACTACCTTCTTCAATCCTACCTCTTCCTGCCATGAAGACCTATTCTGACCTCTCACTTCTTTAAAGGCTTGTCTTTGTTGTAGCGTGCCACACATTGGAACACTTTTTCTGTAATTATTTCATGTTCTCTCCAACTCCCTATAAAACTATTCAAAGCCAGTGAAATCTAAGATTTATTTATTTTTGCATCTGTGCTATTACAAAGATTTGTCAACTGATAGAAATGCACTTTCAGAGAACTTCAAAAAGTATCCAAACACTTTCACTAAGGTGAGATTTTGTGCAGTAGATATAACTTAGGAACCACATCTCCACTATTCAGAGTCTAAAAAACCCTCAACATTCCAGTTTCTTTTCTGAAGCTGTTGAAAGCAATCTGTTTACTTATAAGTAGAAAAAGGGCTCTACATAAGAAAAAAAAGAATCAATTTTGTTAATTAAGAAAGCTAATTCAAGAAGCTGAAATAGCATAGAACATAATTAAGAACGTATATTTTTGGGTGAAGCAAATATTATATCCCAAACCTGCAAAGCTCCAAACATGATTTGTTTCAACTTCTATTGTATTACATTCATTGTCTCACTTCTGTTTAATAATTAACTTATTTTTAATATAGCTCACATAACAATGATAAGAGTAAACAGTCTACTTACCCCACCCATTGTAATTCCATGAATAAGTGCAATATACGGTTTTTGGCAAGAATCTAAAAGAAACAGAGCTGTAATTAGTTACAATGCTTAAAATACATTTTATTTTTCCAAAAATCACATGTTACATGAACTCTGAGTATTTTCCCTAAGAAATTTTTGCAAGAAATATCAAAGTAGACTAAACATATGGCTTATAAAATATGTTCTTTTTAAAACATCAGTCCATACACAATCCTGATCATCTATTCATTATTATGAAAAACTCAACACCTCAATTTGAAACAGATGAAAGCCTATATAACTCAACTATTGAGAAAAACAATATTTGCCTTATAAGCCACTGATGTTTATGTAACACAGTTGTATTTTAAAGAACATAATTTGTCTTCTATACATCTAAAGAAGTATCTGGATTACAGGAAAAAGCAAGGACTGGGAGTTAAAAGACCCAAATTTTAGTCTCAGCTTTGTCACTAACTGGCAATTCAACTATATTTAATATATATACTGGCATTAGATACTTATATACTGGCAATTCAATATATATATGTGTATACACATATATGCATGTAAGTTATACGTATATATGCCTATCATACATCTGTATATCATGTATATAATATATAGATAAGTTTCCCTATCTATTAAATGATGAGACTTGCCTCAGAAGTTCCTTCCAGCTCAAAAATCCTGTAAACTTTTACTCAGTTCCTTTCTCTCTGAAGAGGAAGTTGCGCACAACATAATATAAATCACTGTACTTCTATTACAGCTTGTTGCCAATATAACTTCCTTACCAAAGACAAATATAAAAGTACAGTTTTGATCCATCTAGCAATTCTATAAATATTCCCAATCTGCCAAATGAGCCACTGAAGTACAATTCTAATTTAACATTCACAAGGACTTCCACAGCCCTCAATTTTTAACTATAATTCCCTAGAAACAATGGAAACAAATATCTCTATTGATTGGAGTGGACATGCATACAAATATACCATTTCAGCTACAGATGCATATATTTTAGATACGAAATATCAGAAGCTAATTGATGCAGGAACACAAGGCCAGAATCTGTCAAATTCCTTAACGACTAAAATATGTCATTACAATGTATAGAGATTATATCTGGAAGGCTTTCTCTCTGTATATTAGCATTTTACCAAACTCTTCTCAAACTGCTTAGAGGTTTTTGCCCCTCTCCTTTTATTTAGTATAGAACTGCACTGTCTAATATAGTAGCCAATAGCCAAATGTAGTTATTTAGATTATAATTAACTACCATTAAACAAAGGTAAAATTCAGTTTACTGATCACAGTGGCCCCATTTCAAGTGCTCATTAGCCATGTGTGGCTAGTAGTGATCATACTGCACAGCACAGAAACAGAATACTTTTGTCATTACAGAAAGTACTATTGGACAGCGCTGGTATGAATTTTTAGAATGAATAAAACATCCTAAGTAAAACCTGACCTGTAGAACTATAGACTCAAAGAAATGAGAGCTCTCCATTCAATGTGGCTCACTGAGTTAAATTGGGAAACAGCCTCGTCTCCCCACTCCTACCTCAAAGACATAAAAATTCTAGAGAAAAATTTTTTTGTCAATGTATATCCAAGTTCAAAGCCAAACAAGGGAAATCCACAGGTGCCAGAAACAAATAAACTCAGAGCTAATAGCTGTGTGGAAGCTACAGCCAAAGGTTATGAGTGAGTGTGTGTGTGTGTATCTGTTCTGAGTCAGGAATAACATGGGCCACACATAACATGCTATGAGTTAATACCTGCATAAAGCCTCACGGTAGGAAGAGCTATATGATTTGTAAAACATAGCTAGAAAAACTCTATCTGCTGATCCTAAAACTCAGTAAGCTCCTACCCATGAGAGGAAGAGAAAAAGTCAGAAAAGTGGATGCTTAAGTACTGGACCACTACAACTGAACAAACAAAAGAAAATACCCCTAACAAATTTGAAATAGAAGTAACATCTGTAACTTGGTAAAAAGTGTCTATAAAATGATTATATACTAAAGAATGAAATTTTAAAAGCTTTCCCATGGACATCAGAAATAAGACAACACCACAATCATTCAGCATTATAATAGAGGTCCTAGCCAAAATATAACAAGAAAAGTCATAAGTATACAGACTGGAAAGAGATGAAAAAAATTACGTGTAGATGGTAGAATTACCAATGTAGAAAAGCCAAGAGAACCTACAGAAACATCATTAGAACTGATAATAAATTTCAGCAGGGTTGCTGGATGTAAGAACAAAATACTAAAATCAAAAGCATTTCTACATGCTAGAAATAGTCAATTAGAAAATGTAATAAGAAAAATTACTATTAAATGTAGTAACAAAAAAAATAAGCTGTCTAAAAATAACACTTAAAAAATCTTTTTTTTTCTTTATGGAGAAAATTATAAAACATTATGAAAGGACATGAAAGTCAATCTGATGAAAATGTTCTAAAACAGATTAATGGCGATGACTGCATAAGCTTATTAAATATCAAAATAATTTTAAAATTCATTTGAATTTTTAAAAACCAAAAAAAAAATTCATTTGAAAAATCAAAAGTCCAAGAGTAGCCAAGAAAATCTTGAAAGAAAACAAGGGTAACTTGTCCTATCAGAGACAGACATATCTTAAAGCTATAATAATTTTGACACTGTAGTTTTACCATATGTACAGACAAATAGGCCAATGAACAAAGTTGCCCAGAAACAGACCCGGTCACATATAAGAACTTGATATATGATAGAAGTATCATTAAAACCAGTGAGGAAAACAAGGACTATTCAATCAAAGGCATTACAACTTCTGGCTTTCTAGCTGAAAAGTAAAAGTTAGATGATGTCACATGCAAAAAAATTCCAAGCACTTTAAAGACTTAGAGTATAAAGAAACAAACTATTAAAAGAAAATATAAAAGAACATCTTAAAAACCTCCATGTTATTAAGCGTTTTTAAAATGCAAATAGCAGAAATCATAAAGGAAAAGAATACATTTCATCTCAAACAAAAACTTGTATATACCAAAAGATAAAGTAGCAGACTGAGAGAAGTGTATTTATAATATATATGATCTACAAAAATGAAGAATCAGAATACATAAAGACCTATAAAATCAGTAAGAAAAAGACAATCCAAAAGAAAGATAAACAAAGGATGAAACTGAAAAGAAAATATAAATGATTAACATAAACACCTTCTACTTTACCTGCGTCCAGTGAAGTACAAATTAAAACCACAATAAGATATAAAGCATGCAAAGTTTAAAAACAAAAAATGATAGAAAGGACATGTAGAAAATAAAGTCTTATACTTTAGAGAAGAATTTGGAAACACACTGAAGATACATAAGCTCTATGATCCATCCATTCGACTTCTATTATTTCTATAAATTTTTGCACATGGGCACTAAGGGTGTACATATAAGGGTGTAACAATCTGTATTAGTAAAAAGCTGAAATAATCTAAAATAACCACTAATATAGAACAGATTAAGTAATATGGGGTAATTGAATAATATAAGAACAGTTACATTCCATGTTATCAAAAACTTATGGAATGGTATACACAGTAAGAAAGTACTTATGCAAATTTCAAAAACATAAAGTAATACTACTTTTGTTCATAAATATGTAGTAAAAATATAAAGTACAGTCTAACTGGATGTGCTAAAAACTAATGACAATGGTTGCTTCTGAGGAGGGATACTGGTTGCTTCTGAAGAGAGAAAGAAATGGCACTGAAGCAAGCAATGAAGTAGACTGAACAATAATTTTAAAACTCATAGTATTCTATTTAATTTAAATAAATTTCAAAACATCAAGCAAAAATAAAATATAGTGGTCTATTCATTCTGGGCTGGTGGGTACACAAGTATTTATTATATTATTCCCTGTAATTTAACATTTGAAACACATGCTTGATAAATGTAACTACTGTGTCACTTCCAATGAAATCTGGAATGATGACTATAAAGAAATTTCATCCCAGAGTTCCTCAAGAATTCAGAAATGACACTTCATTTTATAGAGAAAACTGGCACCCAAGCTTTTTGTTTTCCAAGAAAGCCAACCATATGATCAGAATCCATGTTTCCATATTCATTATATGGCAAATAGTAGTTAAGTATACCCTATTTAATAATCAAGTATGAATTGTTCTGGAATGAGCAGTCAGACTACTTTAATCAAGTTTATTCCTGGCACAAAGTATATAAAAGATTAAACAAGAGTGTCTGTTGATTACATTTTAACAATTCATACTGTGCAGCTTATGTCTTGACTCCATTTTCAAAGCTCTCAGCAGAGCACACATACCAATAGCATTGTTCAGCATATATTCTTCTCTGAAGAAATCTTGAGCTATCTTCTGATTTGCCTTTCTAGCTTCTGAGATCACTGCAATAAAAAAAGAAAAAAGAAGGATTACAAATCACAAAAAGTGTTTTCCAGTCAATACAGTCAAATAGAAAAATTTTAAATAATGTGATAGCAAGTACCAGGGGGAAAGTCTAGAATGGTTTGTTAAGGTTCTGAAGTCACCTATGCCACAGACATACTATAGTTAGCCCCAAATCCATAGTCCAATGTCAAAACTTCAAGGCAAAAATTCTTATTCAGAACTTCTTACAAAGTGTTATACTTAAATTATAAGTTATATATTGGTACAAAATACATTTTCTTTTGACTATTTTCTGTAGCACCTAAATGAATGTTTGCTGGATACATGTTTCCTTTGGTAATATATCTTAACACAAAGTACATTATACATATACACGGAAAGAAATATATGCACATGTGCATGCACACACACACAGAGTTCTATATACTCCATCTAGTTAAATACTTCTGCCACATTCATTTCACCATGGAGCATTTGCTGAGCATCTACCAGGTACTACGCACTGTTTTCAGTGCTGCAGATAACAAGACAGCAATATAAGACGGCTGCCCTGGAGTTCAGACTAGTAAGACAGACTACTGAGCTACACTCCTTGTGTCATGCCCACTCTAAGGTTGGGGTGCCGTGGGAATGTGAGCATAAGAGATGTAATTAAAAGAAGCCTTCCCAGGGACTTCCCTGGCAGTCCAGCGGTTAGGACTCCATGCTTCCACTGCAGGGGCCACAGGTTCGATCTCTGGTCAGGGAACTAAGATCCTGCATGGCACACGATGCACCCAAAAAAAAAAAAAATTAAAAAAAAAAAAAAGAAGGCTTCCCAGAAGAGAGAACTCTGAGCCAAATGTGAACAACAGGTAAGGATTTCCTAAAAATGAAAAGTTCTGAAAAGTGAAAAGTTCTGAGTAGAGGAAGGAGTGCCTACAAAGGCACACAGGCAAGGAAGAATAAAATCAAGAAACAAGTAGTTTTAAAAGACTAAAGGAGTGCTTCCCTGATGGCGCAGTGGTTAAGAGTCCGCCTGCCGATGCAGGGGACACCAGTTCGTGCCCCGGTCCGGGAAGATCCCACATGCCGCATAGCGGCTGGGCCCGTGAGCCATGGCCGCTGAGCCTGCGCGTCCGGAGCCTGTGCTCCGCAACGGGAGAGGCCACAACAGTGAGAGACCCGTGTACCGCAAAAAAAAAAAAAAAAACACTAAAGGAGAATGGTAAAAGGTGAGGCTAAGAAGGTAAATGAGATAGTAATATCCTTATTTATTAATATCAATGGAAATATAACCTCTCAAAGATATTGCTACAGCATACAAATGCCTGTCTTAATAAGCAGGTGCTCAGTAAATATCTTAATAATAAATAACAATCAAATGGTTTCATTTCTATTGCAATTTTCTATTATCCAGAGTTCCATAGTCCAATCTACTATACTCCTACTATAGTCAATGTCAAAACCACCATTAAACCTCTCTTCCATACACTTCAAGCTCATATGCTTTTCTTGTCTAAGTCCTATGAGAATTACCTACTAAAATACAAATTCAATATATAATATATACATTTACTTCTTTTATGGGAAAGAGTTACATAAAAATTGTTGACTATTAATAGATTTTTAGACTAACTTCAGAACTCTGATATAGCTTCCTTCAAAATGTTCCAAGCAAATATTGACTTTTTTTCTTGGTTTTTAAAAAAAAAAGGTTTGGGGAATTCCTGGGTGGTCCAGTGGTTAGGACTCAGTGCTTTCACTGCCGTGGCCCAGGTTCAGGCCCTGGTTGGGGAACTAAGGTCCTGCAAGCCGCATGGGGTAACCAAATAAATAAATATTTTAAAAATAAAAAAAGGTTTGATATCTAGTTTTGTCATTCTGAGGCTTTCACCTATAAAACCCCTAAAACCCTCATCTATTATCTTTCATCATTTCTCCCCAATACTAAAAGAAAAGGAGTGCAAATTGCATTGCCTGTGGAATAAATCTCTTTTATCTTAGAAATCTTCTGAGATTTCCTTCTAATCTTATTCTAACCAATCAGTTCCATATAAATTAAATGATGTTTAGTAACATCATTTAAAAATTTTTTGTCAGGGCTTCCCTGGTGGCGCAGTGGTTGGGAATCCGCCTGGCAATGCAGGGGACATGGGTTTGGGCCCTGGTCTGGGAAGATCCCACATGCCTCAGAGCAGCTAATCCCATGTGCCACAACTACTGAGCCTGCGCTATAGAGCCCGTGAGCCACAATTACTGGAGCCCGTGAGCCACAATTACTGAAGCCCGTGAGCCTGGAGCCTGTACTCTGCAACAAGGGAAGCCACCACGATGAGGAGCCCGCGCACTGCAACGAAGAGTAGCCCCCGCTCACCACAACTAGAGAAAGCCTGTGGGCAGCACTGAAGACCCAAGACAGCCAAAAATAAAATAAATAAATTACAAAAGAAATTTTATTTTTCAGAGTGCCCACCTACTGTCTTGGACTATGATGTTTAAAAGAAACTAAATTTCCTAGAATTGAAATCTGTTGCTTATACATGTGAACTAGAATAATTCTAGAATTTTTAACTGTATTTCCAAACAGCAATGTAAAGTTAGGCCTATATGCAAAAATAGCTCACAGTCAGAAGAAGCTGAAATCAATACATAAGGCTCTGCCCATCTGTAAACTGACAAGATCAAAAGCCCAGCTCTTGAGGAAAGATTAATTCCAGGCTGAAAAACAACGTTTTAAAAATATTTAAGTAGTGGGCAAAACAAATTCAAAAAACGATTCAGTTAACAAGTCAGTCGAAGCAACTGAAAATTTTAAAGTGAAATTTTAAGACTCAGTTATTTTAAATTTAATAGATATTTGAAATGATGTCCTGAATCAAGCTTGTTTCTTCCTATTTCAAATGTAATGGTTTACATAAGATTATAAATATGGTAAATAGATCAACTTGAACATTATCATCTTAACACAATACAAAAAATATAAAAAAATAAAACAGAAAGAAAAAAACCATCCCAGGAAACTACCAATTCCGTAAGAAACAAAACTCAAAATGTTTTCAGTATATATAAATACTGAAAAGTTTTCAGTATATATAAAATACTGACAACCAGTGGTAATAACATTTCTTCTCTCTTTTGTCTTTTGTTTTTAATAAATATGTACAGATTGACCTAAATAATAAGATAAGGAGAATTAATCTTTTTATTTATCTCAGCATGTTAATTTAAACACAAAAAATACTGATAATATAATAGGATAAATACTACAATTAAGTGCATTCTTGCTTTGGGATCACGAACAATGGGAAAGCACAAAGTCATGGAAATATGTGAGAGCATGTCATGTTTGGAGAATGGCAAGTCACTCAACATGGCCAGGTTGTCAGGCTTATGTGATAAACAATTGCTTAATAACAGCTATTCTAAAATAAAAAGCAGAATCACATACCATAACTGGACATTTTGTTCAGGATGATTCAGGGAAAGAGACAAGATACCTGAAGGGCACGTATGTGGTTAAAAAAAAAAAAAAAAAAAGCTGCTATTCTCATTTTTCTATTAACTACAAGAGATAAGTCTTTAAATGTTTTCTTTTTCTAAGTTAACCACACTAAAAATGTATTAACTGTTTAACAAAAAACAATTCTAGAAAGTAAAGCAAGTTACAAAGTACCACAAAAATTTGCTAATACCTTATCAGTTATATTGGGGGAAAAAAGCATTTAGGTGAGAAGGGAAAAAAGTTTTTACCTCTGATATCACCTCCAGCACAGAAAGCCTTTCCACCAGCTCCCTTTATAATGATCAGGAAAGTTTCTGGATCTTGTTCCCACTTCTATCCAAATGTAAAAGAAGATGGTATAAGCATATCATAAATACAAACTCATTAATGATATATCCACATGCACATAAACACATGTGTATATATAGACGTATGTGGATATATACAAGCATAAGGCATAAGCTTTATAAAACATATCCAGAAGAATGGATCCCAACTTCATTTTCTTTTCTGACATAAATTAGAGGCTATCCCAACAAAGTTGCTAGATGAGTGCATTCTGTGATCCAAGTTTGATGATGGCAACTGAAATCTTTGCCACGACAACTTTGAGACCAAGGTGAAAAAATATGGGCCTAATATATCGTCAGGTTGGAAAAATAAAATAAAGAGGGGCAGAACATAAGAAGAAACTTGGAGCCTTCTGAAAGTGGAAGAGGCTGTCTTCTGAGGCAGTGAACTCCCTGTCAGTTAGGGGTGCTCCAGGAAAACCACTTAGGAAAGCGCTGAGGACTCTATAAGCGATGGGGCTTGGGCGCTGATCCCAGACAGTCAAGTGATTCTATGGGAGAGAATATCAGAAATATTCTCTAAGGATACACTTTCAGAAGGATCCATATGATTGCTTTAAGAAAATTACAAACCTTTAGCTGTGGATAAATCTGCCGAATCATACTAAGATTCAGTGCATTTAGGAACTTTGGTCTGTTTAGTGTTATCACTCCTGCACAACCTTTTCTTTCCAATAGGACTTCTGCTGCTGCATCTGTGTGCTTAGACATTCTCTGTGTAAACAAAGAATAACTTTAGGATAAAATTCATTAAGTTTTTGTCACAAGTCAACATCAAAACATACATTAAATGCAAATCTTTCACACAATGTTAAGGTTAGCTAATCGAATGGATAACTCAGTACATCTGACAAAGTTTTCTAAAGTTATTTGGACTCTGTAGATAGACAATTCCAAAGCAAACTACATATAACTCTTAAATCTCTTAATTTTTATTTCTGAGTGAACTTAGTCAACTGATTTAAAATAGAACCCAGTCCATGGGACTTCCCTGGTGGCGCAGTGGTTCAGAATCCATCTGCCAATGCAGGGGACATGGGTTCGATCCCTGGTCTGGGAAGATCCCACATGCCACAGAGCAACTAAGCCCGTATGCCACAACTACTGAGCCCGTGTGCCACAACTACTGAAGCCCGGGCGTGCCTAGAACCCGTGCTCCGCTACAAGTGAAGCCACCGCAATGAGAAGCCCGCACACTGCAACAAAGAGTAGCCCTCGCCCGCCACAACTAGAGAAGGCCCTCGCGCAGCAATGAAGACCCAACGCAGCCAAAAATAAATTAATTAATTTAAAATTTTGTTTCTAATAAAAATAAAATAGAACCCAGTCCTAGAATTTCTTGGACTATGAAATACTCTTAAATCTTTATTACTGTATACCAAGCAATATGTTAGGTACTTGGAAATCAAAGATGAATACAGAGGGCAAATAATTCTGACTACAATAGCTACCAACAACTTGGGGGAAAGAAAGGTGATATTTGAGCTAGGCCTTGATATATGCCAAGAAAAAGAGGGGTGAAAATCCTGGAGAGTAACACATTCTAAAACATGAACAGCGAATATCTGGAAATGTTAAGATGTTAAACATGAGTGGAATAAAGGCTGATTGAGAAAATGAGTGATAGGAAAGTAGGCAGAATAAGTAGTTTAAGGCCAGATTATAGAATGAGCTTACGAAAGCATATACTTGTGAAGAACTTGTCTATACAGTTCTTAGGGCCTCACGCACCATGGTGAGTAAGGCAAGGGGCACATTTTGGAGTGGCTTATTTTGCTCCCCTTCAATACTCAGTGGTTCTACTTCCTTGATTAAACCCTTACTCATATGAAAAGACAGATGATAGACTAAAAAGCTGTACTTTTCAGATACCTACATCATTCTAAATTTTAAAGTAAAACAGATTTCATATTATACAAACATGTTACACACAAGTATTAATAAACTTTCATCTCTCTCCATACTAACTTTCTTTTTTGCTTGAACCAAGTCAGATTTGCCAGCCCCCCCCAAAAAAAACAAAAAAAGTTTCATGACTGTTTCCACTGAACAACTTCACATAAATTATCACCTAATATCAGAGACAATCCTTTAAAACTCTATTATTTGGTTTCAGCTCAGAGATGTTGAGAGCTGAAAAGATGCGTCTCCTGACCTTGTAACAAGAAAAAAAGGTGAACAGACTGAAAATTAATGGCTTTGGTGAACTCAGTCAGAGGACAGGAGGTCACAGGGCTAACAGCCCCGTAATAAAATCTGGAGAGACAGGTGCCTTCAGGGAGATGCAGGACCAGTATATTTGCTTAGCTCAGGCAGAAGCCCTAAGGAAGATTAACTAGAATTTTTAATGACTTGCTAGAGGTCAAGTGTGGGCAAGTGTGATAGTGTGGAGCTCCTGGGGGTGGCGGGTGTCACAGTCATGGGGGGAGCTCCCATTCTTGCTGGCTTTTCCTCCTGGAACCCAAGCAGGTTCTCCCAAGGAAGACTGGAGAAAGCTCCCCCGTGTGGTGCTGGCTGGGGGAGGGAAACAGCAGGCACAACTAAATCCTTTCCCCTCATCTTCCACACAGAGCAAAAGGCTAAATCTTCATGGGAGAGAGAGCCTTCAAAGCTGGTAGCATAGGGTTCTGGTGGAGGCCCAACACAGTGGGGAAATGGGATGGAGGCCTATAAAATAAGACCCTTAATCCCAAGGGAGAAGCACTTCAAAACCATAGCCTACTGACCTTAGTGTTTACCAATCACAGCTGGAGAAAAGGAACAGGGGACAAAGGAAAAGGGGGGAACAAAGGCAGCCCACCCCCAGAGAAAGGACAGGAACACTTATGAGGGCCACACCCCTGGACTCTGGTTCACAGTGCCTTCCAAACATTAAGGATTAATGGGATACAACACCAAAAGCATGATCCACAAAAGAAAACACTGATAAACTGAATTTCATCATATTTAAAACTTCTGCTCTGCAAAAGATAAAGTGAACGAAAAGACAAACCAGAAATTAGAAGAAAATACTTGCCTATCACATATCTGATAAAGAATTTGCATACAAAATATACAGCTGACCCTTGAACAACACAGATTTGAACTGTGCAGGTCCATTTACACTCAAATGTTTTTCAATCGTAAATACTATAGTACTACATGATCCCCAGCTGGTTAAATCCACAGGTGCAGAGAAGGAACCTCAGTTGTAGAAGGCTGATTGTAAAATTATACTCGGATTTTTCGACTCCCCAGAGAATCAGTGACCCTAACCCCCACCTTGCTCAAGGGTCAACTGTATAAAAAACTCTTAAAACGCAATAAGAAAACAAACAACCCAATATTAAAATGGGCAAAAAAAAAACTGAAGAGCTTCAAGGAAAATATAGGGATGGCAAAAAAAACACATGAAATGCTCAACATCATTTCTCATTAGGAAAATGCAATTTAAAACCACAATGAGCTACCACTACATACATATTAAAATGCCTAAAATCCAAAAACAGACAATAACATGTTGCCAAGGATGCAGAACAACAGGAACACTCGTTCTTTGTTGGTGGAATTGCAAAGTGGTACAGCCACTACAGAAGATAATTTGGCAAACTTGTATAAAGTTACACATGGACTTACCATAAAACCCAGCTATCATACCCTTAGATATTTACCCAAGTGAATTAAAAACTTATGTTCACACAAAAACCTGTACACAAACAGGTGTAGCAGTTTTATTCTTACTCACTAAAACCTGAAGGCAACCAAGATGCTCTTCAACAGGGAAATGAATAAACTGTGGTATATCCAAACAATGGAATACTATTCAGTGATAAGGACTACGTTATCAGTTCATGCAACAACACAGGTGAATCTTAAATGCATTTTGCCAAGTGAAAGAATGCAGACACAAAAGCCTATATATTGTATGATTCCATTCATATGATGTTCTGCAGAAAACAAAATTATAGGGGCATAACAAAGGTCAGTGTTGGGGAGCGGGCGAAGTGACTGCCTACAGAGGGAAAGGACAGCAGAAGTTTTAGGGGGATGGGGCTGTTCTGCATGGACTTTGGGTAATGAATGCATGATTTATGCATCTGTCAAAACCCAAAGAAATGTACAGAGAGTGAACCTGAATGTATACAAACTATATATATTTTTTAAAAATCACCCAGTGTCAGGGGATTCCAACATGGAATGCAGACTGTGGCAAATAAATGCAACCAAACCACACACGTATGACAAGCACACTGAGGTGAAATCGTGAGGATGGTGGCAGGAAAGCTGACCTAAGTAACTTTAGAAAACAGTCATTTGATTGCAAGCTGTAAGGAAATATACAAAAAAACCTGTATGTCAACCAATGCTCTAGTTAGTAAATTTGTTCGAAACAGCTTTGCATGTATACTGAGGTTAAGCAAGTAATGTGGACTTCCCTGGTGGTCCAGTGGTTAAGAATCCGCCTCCCAATGCAGGGGACACAGGTTCGAGCCCTGGTCTGGGAAGATCCCACATGCCGTGGAGCAACTAAGTCTGTGCGCCACAACTACTGACCCTGTGCTTTGGAGCCCACGAGCCACAGCTACTGATGCCCGCATGCCACAACTACTGAAGCCCGTGCGCCCTAGAGCCCACGCACTGCAACTACTGAGCCCACGCTCCGCAACTACTTAAGCCCATGCCCTCTAGGGCCCGCGTGCCGCAACTACTGAGCCCGTGAGCTGCAACTACCGAAGCCCGTGCACCTAGAACCCCGTGCTCCACAACAAGAGAAGCCACCACAATGAGAAGCCCGTGCACCGCAACAAAGAGTAGCCCCCACTCGCCGCAACTAGAGAAAGCCCACACGCAGCAATGAAGACCCAACACGGCCAAAAATAAATAATTTTTTTTTAAAAAGGTACATACTGTATTTAAAAAATTTTTAAAAAAAACAAGTAATGGAGGGTGGTCAGTGAGAACCAGGCTCTCCCTGGTCAGGAGGAGAGTTAGAAACAAGCAAGAAGGGAAGGCTAGAATGAAGCCTGCCCCGGGGTACTGGATTAAAGTCAGAGACAGCAGTATGAACATGTTTTCTTAATATATATTAAGAGGATATATATTAATATAACAGAGGATAAACACAGAAACACTTATCACTATTTATGTATACATGGGACAGTAAACAGTATACAGCATATGTATTCTACTACAGATATATACATTACTCTAGTTCTATCCCCAAGAGAAAACCGTGACACCCCAGTAGCAAGGGGCATTCCCAGACTCAGATCTTGATTTCTAAATGCAATTTTCCAATAAAGGCAACCAGAGCTCCTTGGAGAAATGGCTGATTCCAGAGCCAGAGAACATCTTCCAGTAACAGAAAGTAGCGAGGTGTTTTTAAAATATTGAAAATTAAAAGGAAAAGGTCATATCAAAGGGACACAAGAAGCCAAAATGAAGGAATTCCTAATGGCCAAAGTTGAAACAATGTGAGTAACAGGATAAATAATGTGCTGTTCGATTATAACCCAAAGAATAAAATAAATATCCACGAGTCCACACTGATATATATAACTTAATAAATCAATGGGGGAGATGAGATGATCTTACCCACAAAAGAATTCAAAATAATTTATGTAGAAATCCCCCTTCCAGGAGGTAAAGCTTAGCCCCCTCACGGTCTGACTGTGGGCTGAACTTACTGACATGCTTCCAAAGAACAGAGTAGAAAAGGGAAAAATGGTAACTTT